GGTAAGCGCGTCAAAGGGCTTGAGGAGCTCAGCGATTGGCGACTTCGGGGTGGACGTGTTGGACGAATCCGAAGGATAAGGAGGCAGGGTGCCGATTCGGACGAGGAAGTGGAAGAGAGCCTGGAGCACGTCGACAACGTGACGAAAGTTGTGGTACTTGACGAACTCGTTGTAGGCAGTACGGCTGGCCAAGAGAAAGACGATCATCTCGTCTACGAATCGGTCAGCAAGTAGCAGGTTTCTGGCATAAGCCGCACTTGCCTTCGGTTATCGCCCATCTTTCTAATTCGGGCATTTGTAGTGCATGCTTGAGCATGACGAAAGCGCCATAGAGAAGCTCGTCATCGGTGTAGTCGTGCGCGGAGAAGGCCCAAGTACCGATGGCGGCTTCAACGACGATTTGGCGATCTACGTCGAGATGGAAATCCCTACTCAAGTCAGTGGCGGGTCGCATAGTCACCGTTTGTACATACGTAGATTCAAGCGAGTCGCCTACTGTCTCTGGATTACAGATACCAGTCATGAGATTCGACACCATCGCCTCGCGCAGATATGCGTAAGGTTTTGTGTCGTCTACTCCGACCCAAGACAGCTTCCGATTGCGCTTAGTAGTCAAAAAGCTTGCTTCTTCTCGAGAGAACTCCTTCTGTAACCGATAGGCATGGACGGCTAAGCCAAGCATGCGGTCTCTGGACATTGGACTCGTCAGGACGTCGACAGCGCCAGCATCCAGGTATCGCGTCAACCGAACAGTGTCGCCGAGCGAGAAGGACACTTGTAGTCCCGGCGAGGGCAGCGGACCAGCTGAGGACGGCTCTTCAGTGCCCAGACCAGACAACATGACTACAGGTACGACGAGTTTGGAGAAGTTCCGCGACGAGATCTCGGAGGATATGTGGGTGAGTAGGTGCATTGCGTATATATCGTCGGGTTCGCTCGTATCTAAACGTGTGAGGCGCGAGGATGTGGGCGAGGGCGTGCGCGGCTCGCGAGAAAGGCGCTTCATGCGCTGCTCTTCATCGTATGGGATGTCTATTATGACGAAAGTAGGAATGCTGGCTTTGGTAGACTCGACGAGCTGGGTGATCTTCTGTAGGCAGGCCCTGCCGGTGCTGCAGATGTGTACTACGAAGTGTATTAGTAAAGGCGTGGGCGCGGGAAGAGGACGGACTACCTTCGCTGGAAATGGACAGCATCGCCTCGACATTGTCGTGCACTTCGCGCGGCGACGTCTTGCCGATAGCAAAGTAGCTCTGTCCTACATTGCCAGTCGTGGTTCGCGCGACGAGCGACTTGGACAGCGTCTCCTTCCGCACGTGCTCGTCGTTGGCCCGCCGGTCAATGTAGACAACATTGCACGCGCCATGTTCCATTGTCTCCGCCTATGTGCGGCGACCAGACAGCACTGGTCTCCAGCGCAGAGGGGAGGTTGTTGGGGAGGTGTCGCAAAATGGGGAGGACGGGTGGTCGCAGTGAGACGTCTGAACGGGTCGGACAGCGTCACGGGAGAGTGCGAGGCGGAAGCGTGGTGGATGGGGTGCAGCCGAGGGCCAATTGGCGGTCGTGAGCGCGGTGGCAGTGGACACAGGAGAGCAGCGGACAGAGTCGAGCGTCCAGAAGCGTGGGGGAGCGCAGAGATGGGACGGCGGGAGTGCGCCGGTTGGTCTGAGATGCACTCTGAAACGACGACGTCGGTGGAAGCCCCAGGGAACCCGGCGAGGCGGCGGGCGGCAGCCAGTGCACACGACACTAGAGTGCAGTGTTTATTGTATACGAGGAAAGCGCAACGGGTGGATGCGACGAGGAAGGCGGGAAGCGACGTGGGAGGGCAGGCGCGACGGCGGGCGGGTGCTGGGCGCGGCTGCCTCTTGGTGTCTCTCACTCGGCGCGCGCGCAACGGGACGTGTCGAGACTCGAGCAGCGCAGCGGGCGTCCTCAGGCGATGGCTCGCAGCGTGTTTGGGGAGCGTCTTGAGCGTCTTCAGGGCGCGGGTGAGGGTTGTAGATGCATGCAGGGGCTCTAGCGGTCCTCGGTGTGTCGCATGAGCGGCACTGCTATGGGCTGCACGCTGAGCAGCATCGGGCGCACACGGTCGAGGGCAGTGAGGGCGTGGACGAGACGGGCAGAAGTCGGCTATAGGAATCGAGCGTGGTGTGGTGGAGGAGAGCAGCGGGCCTGGTCTGGCTGATTGGATCTGGGATACTCGACAAAAAGAGGCAGGCGCACTGGTGGATCCAGCCTATCCATCCACGAACCGCCCGGCTCGAAGCCCCCAAGCCTTCTGGAAGCTTTCGCGCCGTCACAGCCAAATGCTATACGAGCGCTCCGCTGCGTCAACGTCAGCCCTGCACCTGCGCTTGGCCTAGGGCGCGCTTTCATTTGCCTCCCAACTGATCAAAGTGCCAACGTCGCCGCGCCCGCCCACTAGCTGTCGCTGCGTGAAGTGCGAACCCAGAGAGCCAAGCTCACTCTGAAACGCTTCCCCAGGGGCGGCCCAGTTCCCGCCTGCGCTGCACTGATTACATACAGCACGCCCGCCCCAGCCAACTCAACCTGCTACTCGCTGTGCGCTGGCATCGCACGCCCGCCTCAATGGCTGCAGCATGCATCGCACGCCCCCCGCTGTTGCCACACAGCGTCGTCATCTGCCCGAGCAACCCCATCACGGCCCCATGCAGAAGTATTCTGGAAACCGAAAGTGGCGACTCGCTGTCACGCCCTGCTGCTACTTGCCGATGCCTCGGGCACGCTATCCACGTAAGCAGCCTGGTCCGTGACCACCTCGCAGCCTTGCTCGCTCCATACACTGGATTCAGCAAGGAGCTGCCTTGACCCTGCCGAACAAACACACGATAAGGCCGTGAGGCTGCTGATCTAATTCTTGGTCAGCGGAATCCGGGGTCGTCGCCCACACGGCAGTGGCCTGCAAGTACATGACAAGTACTGACAAGCTCTGCCTGCACGACTCAGTCCGATCCCGGCGCAACTCTGATAGGCAGCTAACCTCCACAAATAGGACGGTTCTTTATAGGCTGCGGGCGTGCAGATGACTGCAAGCGGCGCCTTCGTCTGTGTTGGTACATCGCACGACCCTGCAAATACACGGCACGCATAGTACTACAAAGACCGTTCGCCATTGAGATCCACCAACGGCCCTTTAAGCCACAGACTACGGTCGACTATGTTTGAGATAGGAGAACCAACCCATTCAGCTGACATGCCACCAGGCGCCGGTTGCGCGTTGGACATGTTGACGTCCAATCGAACAATTCTGAGTCAGTTACATGTACCAAACACATGGTTCACTATCTCTGCCATGGCGCCGTCTATCTCGTCTACATCTTACACTGCGCTCATGCAGAGGTAAGGTGTGAATTGCGATCGCCACAGGTGCATCGTGAAGCTCCCAGCTTCCTTCCCACAAAGGCTCACCAAATAGGAATCTACTTGGGCATGGCTTTCGTGGTGACTGCATGATGCCACGAGTATGTCCTTTTGCTCACTTATCACGTGGGTCAAGACCATATGTCTAGATAGCAATTCTCTCAGTGCCGAAAGACGTTTTCAAATCCATGCCAACAGTCGGGCTGATACTCGGAACTCGCGATTCTAGTAACTGAAGGACTCTTCAATGTTGGACTGCCGAATGTCAAGACACCAAGACATTCTCGACCCTGAACTACCGTCTATCTTCGCATAGCCATCGACGTCCATTGCATTCGGAACGATTCTGATGCTATTGTCACAGATAGGGAGGCGCAGCTATGTTGACCTCTCTGTTCGGGCCGTAGTTCGTCCGGCGTTCATGTGGGGAGCACTGGATTGCCGACATGTTCGGACTCCTGTGTGTCTTACCTCAGCGGGCACGTTTGGATGCTGGAAGTACTGCAACGTCAGAGGGATCCGAAGATGAATTCGACTGGCTTCATCCATGACAGATTATATTTCTCATCCCACACATTATGTCGTGGCGGCACTAACAACATACTCATAATCCTTCCTCAGCGGCACGATAACCCCCTGATAGAACCTCTCTCTAAAATCATCATCATCGAGACTAAATACCGAAGCTTCGAAATTGCAATGTATACACCTCTGCGTCGCATCCGCATAGTTTGGCAGTTCCCGCGTACGCAACCCCTCCGCCAATCGAATTGCTATGAGATAGTCGGTGAATGCTGTACGATTGCCCGTCGCGTCGTCAAGGTCTTCCTTGGTTACAAAGGTCTGCAGCGGCTTGCCGTACGAAATCTCCAGTAATGCAACGCCGAGAGCGAAGATAATGCTGTTCTTGATTATGCGCATTCTTTGACTGTGTGCCGGTGGTGGTGCTGTTGCGGGGAAGTCTCGGGATATGTATGGTTGATCGGATAGTACTGATTGACTCAAAATGCAGATGTCGTTTAGGCCCCAGGTCTCTTCTAGCCAGGATGTGTTGTGGAGATGGTAGACAGCGGAGGCGAGAGTAAGAGCTAGGGTACATTTTTCCTTGATCTGGAAGCTCTGACTTTGCTTCTCAAGTAGCTGTTGCAGGCTCACGCGTTTGTCAGTGGTGCTAGCGTTCGGTAGTCGGAGAGTGTGGATGTGGTGTCTGGCCAGCTTGCTACTCATGACTCCCATGCAATGTGGGCTTGGGCAGTGTTGCAGTGTTGCGCAGAGATCGATGATATTTGGAGCTTTTTGAAGGCATTTCCAGTGGTCGTGTATTTTTGTGTTCGAGTGGACAACGATGCTGGGAAGCAATGAGGTGTTGCTTGGGGTTGTCGGGTCAATCACATCGATAGCCTCAATTTCTACCGGTATCGGCTTCCAAGAATTGACATGGCTAGCATGCGGTGATGCAAAAGTGAATATAAGCTTGAAGCTGGAAGGGTTCCCTGTTTCATCGTCTCTCTGTATGTCAAGCCGCAAATTTGCTTGATGTATACATTGACACGTACATTTCGATGACCACCGCGTGTTGAAAGCGTCATACAGCTTCTCTGCTTGTTGTCGAAACTTCAGAAGATATTCCGTGTTGGCTTTACGTCTTCTTTGAAGTCGTAGAGGTTCAAGCGCAATTGCTCCTGCAGTAAGGCTGGCGATGCGGCCGATGTCCTCTTCGATGGATGATAGCAGTTGCTTGTAGTGCTTCGTCTTGAGGCCTCCTTTTATACGTATCCAAGGGTCGTTGAAGAATTTGTTCCGTGCTGCTGCATCAATATTTCCCGTTGGTGTAGTCCAAGGTGGCTGCTGCATCTTAGCAAGTGCTCCCATCTTTCCAGGATTTACCCACCTGAAAGTTATCGCATAGTTGCAATTTCCGCGCAAAGAGATTGATCTTCTTGTTCAGCTGCTTGACTGAGGACTTGAATGGCAAGTAATTGTTTCCCAATCGATTGCGCAGAGCGTCGTTGAGGTCAGCATCCTCCCATGACGAGCTGTCATGGTCTTCGAGTAGCTGACATACTTGAGCATCTGAAAGAGCTAATGGACCCAGAAGCTCTTCGCATGAGTTCCTGTATATGCAAGCGTTGGTTACAAAAGAAGCATGAAGACACTCAAATGCTTCCTCGTACTTTTGCATACTTTTGATTGTTGAAAGCTGTAATGCGTTAGCCATGATCTGCTTACTTCTCGCGTCTGATGTCATACCCCTTCAGCATAGTGCTCCAGAGCCACTATCACCAACGGCAGCGATCCCAAAACTACCCCAGCTATTTCGAACCCAGACATAGTTGGGAAGTTGCGATGGCGCTAGTGGGGTGAGCTGGCTGTTTTGGTGAAAGGACGGCAAGATAGTAAATGTTGTGGATGGAGACCGAGTAACGCAACAATGCCAGTAAGTGACGGATGCGTCATATCGTTGGAAGAAGCTGCGTAGAGAAGGCTGTGATGAGGGTGCGGGCACGACGACCTCAGGATACTCAGCCTTGCGACTAGGCTCGAAGAGCTCTAGTCCCGAGGTCGTCAGCTGAACCACGTGGTGTCATGAATAGCCTCGCGATCTTGGAATCTCAGCCTTCTGATGGTATCATCAACATCAACTCTTATTTTAATCAGAGAGATGTCACCACGCAAAGATGCATGAATCTATCGCCCAAATTCACACTCATTGTGTCTCCAGCTTCCTTGCCTTCATCGGCGCACTAAGCTCCTCTTATCGCTGGGACGATCAGGCTGTAGCACAAAATGCCTTCGATAGGTACCGGCTTTGGGCTGGCAACATGGGCGCCATGCACAGTGGTACTAGGTACAAGTCGTCTCTAGACTATAGGCTGAGAGAGGCTTCTTTCTATAAAGATCAGGTATCTCGCTTTTATCCCAACTGTACATACTGGGACTTACGCAAAGCTTAGGTACTGAGGTTGATGCACGATTTGCGTAGCTGTGTAAGATACTTTGCCCTTTCCACTGTCACTCGTCATAGTCAATCTTGTCATGAACTAGGAACAAGGGCTAATCGAAAGCTCACGCATTAGTTGGATAAAGGTACATAATTGCATTGTGTCGATATCTAAAAGACTGCTAATGGAGGCGTTGCTCAGCATCGAAAGCCGCTCGGATCAGGAACACGAAGGCTTATGATCGCATAATAGAGAAATCCGAGCCTTCAGACACAGACGAAGATGAATCCGACTCCTCTGGTTCACCGTGGGAGGTCTCTTCCGACTCCGAAGTGGAATATCCAAGCAAAGGGAAGCTGCCTCGAAAGAATCCAAATCCGTCAGTCCCTGAACCAGCGAAGCCGACGCTAGTAGATCCTATCAATTTCATCATTGACTGTCTTTGGAGGCTACCCATCCGCAGTCCTGCCCCCATTGATCGCATGAAGAAGAAGTATATTGCGGAATCGACTGCCTACTTACCCTTTGACATCATGCATGTTAGGGATAAGTTCCCCGACCTCAACGAGATCGTTACCACTCGTTTAGCGAAGATGATATCGAGAAGAAGGCAACTAATAAAGTACCGCAAGGATCACACTGATGCCTTGAAAGAGAAAGAGGTGGCGGTGGTTGAAACGTCTCAGTTTGAGCATGGTCATCTATCCAGACCTATTGAAGGAGATATACTCAGCGAATCGGCACCCAGTTCTAAGGGCCCAAGTCAGCGTACAGAACTTACGAAAGCGACGACACTGAAGATCAACACTCCGATGGTACCGACTTCTCCGCTAGCGATCGGGCTCTACACGCCTTCAGTGTCCGACTTTGCGTCCTCCACGGCATCCGAGCAAACCGCGAATGCGATAACAATCAGACTTCCGAATCGACCCAGGACCAATGAAGGGCGGCTGTTGGACAATTTTGTATGTCCATACTGCTCAACTGCTCAGATTGTCACGTCAGAGCGCCGATGGAAGTGAGTCATCTCAGGAAACTACCGCCGATTACTTGGCTTACATGTGCGCAAAAGAAAGCATGTCTTATCCGATCTTCAGCCTTACATCTGCACCTACTCAGATTGCCAATTAGACGAATATCTCTTCGATAACCTTGATGACTGGTTTCATCATGAATCCCGGACGCATCGCGTGGAATGGTTCTGTAACACAGAGTCTCATCAGTCTTTTCCCGACATGAAGGACTTCCTGGATCATATGCATACAGTCCATTCTGAGCCTCTTGATGAGACACAGCTTCTTAGTTTGCACCGCGGATTCCAACGTCCATCCAATGCGCATTCGGGGACGTGCACATTGTGTGGTCAGCACGCAAGTAGATTGAAGTCTCATCTCGCACGACATCTTGAGCAACTCGCGCTATTCGCCATACCCCAAACGGACTATATGGCTACTTTAGAAGAGAACGATACATCTTCAAACGCCGCACGGCAAGGTGTACCGGCACTGTCTAGCCTAGGCTCAACGAGGATAGATTTGACGGACTGGAATAGACGCATGAGTAGGATAGATTTGGATCATTCGAGTCATGACTCAGACTCAGAAGGTTCAGTCCAAAATACTCCTAGTCTCAATCCTCTCAGTCGTCTCGTGCATGGAGTGGATCGTGCCTCGAGGGATGTTCAGGCCTCAGCGGACGGTCCGCTCACGAATCAGGACGAAGAACTGGCGTTAGCCTCGAGCGAGAACATCCCAGAGGAAGTGGATACTTCATGGGATCACATTACCTCAAAGTTCAAGGACGCCCGAGATGGAGTACATGACGACGAAAACACTGGTCCTGTTAGTTCAATCTTCCCTGATAATCGCCCACTAAGTATCTCGGAGAGCGCGTCAAGTCAAGCCGACACATTATTTGAACCAACTACAACGCCGATGGTGGAGTTTACCGACTTCCAAAGATCTGTCCCGTATAGTCAGGGGCCAAGCAGCATACATCCAGGAAGCCGCCCTACGGGGGGTGTCACCACTGGAGAAAAGCGATCATGGCGACAGAGGCTCTACAAAGCCACTGGGATTAGAAGGAAGTCCCCCATAAGGGGGCATAGTGTTCAAGTGCCATACAATCCGACCGTTTCGAATCTTCCTGATGATGGTTCATTACATGAACCACAGGAGGCTAACGACAATCGTGCCTTGGAGTCCTCAGGGAGGGAGACGCGCGGACTGGATGCAGACTGGCAGATGGCAGCCGGGCATCGCGAGATGATGTTTTGCCATGAATGCTACGAAGAGTGGTATCGAGATGAAAGCGGCCTCAGTTGTCCTAACTGCGGCTCAGACTCCACCGAGCTCATACAGCAAGCGGGAAATAGCCCGTGAGATTGCAACAATAATGAGGACTTCGGATGCCGTGGCTGTACTGGAGTATAAAACCGGAGACAATGGGCGACAATGGGCGACATGTCTAAAAACGGTCGCAAAGAGATGGGTCGGATAGAAGCAGGCGTGTATCGAGAGCATATTGTGACTGGTTGTCTTCTCAATCACTGCTACAGAATCCTCGTTGTCTTGTGCCTTCACTATCCTCAGGACGCCCTTCATCTGTATAAATCAAACCCTTGAGAGTAGAAGTGAGACCCATGAGCCGCTCCAGATGGTACTCACACATATGCAGTAATCGATGAGTTGATATTCTACAGTAGTGTACAAAGCAGCTCCTCAGCTACATCCACATCTACGCCCCACCCTGCAGCGAGACCACATCCCTACATCTCCCACAAACCTCCTCCTTCTCCTCCTTAACAAAACGCCAACACCTCGGACACTTCTCCCCACTAGGCGGATGCACCAGCACCCTCGCCTTCCCCAACAATCCCGCGTCGCTCGAAAGCGCTTCCTCCTCCCACCACTGCGACCGCTGCTTCAACGTATCAGAATCCTCCGCCGTGAACACATTGTTCGCAAAAAACGACCCTGTTGGTGTCCAAAATTGAAGATCGCTGATAACAAAGAGGCCAGCGAGTTGGGTTTCGAGTTGCGCTAGATCGAGAAATGTAGGCTCCATGCAAGCCGAGAGTTCCGCGTAGAAGTTCTCGGGGTTGGTCGACTTTGGTAGGTAAACCGTCGCTGCGCTCTCAAGACTGGAACCGATCTTTTTCTCGGCACGGAGGCGCTCTTGTGCGATCTTGATAGCTGTACCTAGTGTACTAGTTGTCTCGCTCATGGCCTCCAGACTAGCAGATTCGGACGCCGCGAGCGCGGGAAGAGGCGACCAAACCGCGCGTGCAGGATGAGCACTCTTCTCCTTGAGTTCTGCAGGAACATGATCCCATACTTCTTCAACAAGCAGCGGACAGACTGGAGCAAGTATCTGCAACAGCTCATAGAAAATGAGTCCCAAAACGCGCTGAAGTGTCTCGCAGTCCTTTGTATCGCCAGTGTACACGCGATCTTTGAGTGTTTCAAAATAGAATGCACTCAAATCCATGGAGATGTACTTGTTGATCGCGTTCACACCTTTGAAGAACTCGTATCTGCCAAAGTGGTTGTGTACTTCTGCGCTGACCTGCACCAGCCGATGGACGGCGAGGCGGTCAGTGAGTTCGCTGAACTCGGCGATGGTGGGTGTGAGCTCGTTGAAGAAGGTGAAGGGTGGCGGGCAAGATGGTAGGGAGAATATGCCTAGCAGCCATTTGAAAGTGACGCGGTATTTGTGGAGGGCTTGGTTTACGGACATCAGGACGGGCTGCCCGATTGTGACATCGCGTGTATAGTCGCTGCTTGCGGCCCAGAGGCGGAGAGCATCGGCGCCCATGGCATCGTATGTTGGCGTGTGCTTAGTTGCTGGGTCTTGCTTGACGCCTTTCTGTTTCTTTCGTTTGACGGGTGGGAGGAGTTCGCCGGACATGATTTGAGATGGTGAGATGACGTTGCCGAGAGATTTGCTCATTTTGCGGCCGTCTGAGTCGAGTGTGAAGCCATGAGTGATCAGAGTCTTGTATGGTGCTTTGACGGTCTCTGTCGAGTAAGGCTGGGTTGCGACGTGGGTAAGAAGTGATGACTGGAACCAGCCGCGGTGTTGGTCAGTGCCTTCAAGGTATACATCGGCAACAGGCTTGTCTTTTTGCTGCGGAAGGAGCTTCCAACTGGTGCCACTATCGAACCAGACGTCCATGGTATCTCTACCGCGTACGTATGTTCCGGTGAGATGCTTCGGCTTCCAGGCTGGATCGTCCTGCGCATCAGTCCACCAAGCGTTGATACCACGTTCTTTGATCACCTCAATGATATGATCGATGGTTTCAGAGTCCATGGTGGCTTTCAGTGCATCACCCTCGAATTTGTACAGAGCTGGGATAGGAACACCCCAAGCACGCTGGCGCGAGATACACCATTGGCTGCGTCCCTGGATGAAGCTCTCTAGACGACTTCTGCCAGTTTCAGGCATGAAGTTGACGTCGGCGATTGCTTTCATCGACGCGTCCTTAATCCCTTCTACGTTGGCGAACCATTGTTCCGTAGCGCGCGTGATGACAGGTTCCTTCGTTCTCCAGTCGATGGGATATTTGTGGCGGTAGTTTTGCTTGCCCCGAAGCATGTCCAGCGTCTGGAGATAGTTGCATACAGCATTGCTACCCGACTTCTTGATGTCAGCGACAGGTAGACCTTCCAGCAGCTCGGGCTGTTCCGGAAACGCGTCCTTGGTGAAAGCACCAGCATCATCTATGGGAGCAAAAGCTGGAACATTGAGCGCCATGCATACGTTGTAGTCATCCATACCATGTCCAGGAGCGAGATGCACTAGTCCAGTACCTGAGGAGTCGGTGACGAAGTCGGCATGGATTATAGGCTGTAGTCCATTTGCCTTTTGGAACGGATTCTCGTACTGAACTTGACCGGCTAGATCTGCGCCACGCACATCTGCAAGGACTACTTCGAGCTTCCGCTCAAGAATCTTCTCGTACTCCGCTACTCTTGAAGCTGCGACCAAGATCAGCTCGCCATCCTTCTCAGCATCCTTGACTACGCAGTAGTGCATGTCCTTGTGAACCGCGATCGCCTTGTTCGCGGGCAGGGTCCAGGGTGTGGTCGTCCAGATGGCTACGCTAACTTCACGGTCTACCTCCTTCAAAGCCCCGTTCTTCAAAGCCTCCGAAAGATGTACTGGGTATCGCACAAAAGCAGCTAAGCTCTTGTGACCCTCATCGTACTCCAACTCAGCTTCCGCGAGGGCTGTTCGCGAACTCGGGCTCCAGTAGACGGGTTTGAACTGCCTGTAAATCAAGCCCTTCTCAAACATGCTCTTAAACACTTCCAGCTGTCTGATCTCGAAACCGCGCTCCATCGTCTGATATGCGTTGTCCCAGTCGCCCATGACAGCCCATTCCTTGAAGCCGCGCTTCTGTTCTTCAATCGTCCGAGTCGCCAGTTCGCGCGCAGCGTCACGCACGCTTACAGGGTCGGCTTGCGCCGCATCCTTCTTTTGCGCCTGGAGAGCCTTGATCTCAATGGGTAGACCATGGCAGTCCCAGCCAGGTATATATGACACCTTTTTCCCTTGCCCGACCTGGTGCCTGCAGATGATGTCCTTGGTGATCTTATTCAAGGCATGCCCAATGTGCAATGGCCCATTGGCGTATGGCGGCCCATCATGCAGAGTGAAGGTCTCTTTTGGCGCATTGCCTTCCGCCTCGCCATTCTGTCCATTCAACCGCTTCTCCAGGTGTCCATAACGTACAACGCGTTCGGGGCTCGCCTGCCACGAATACAGGTCATCGGTGCATCGTCGTAGGTAGGTTGGGTTCGTTGACGCTAATGGTCGCGGCGGAAAGCTAGATTTTGGCAGTCGGAGGGTGTTTGACCATGATGCGCGGAGGATGCGTGTTGGGGTTAGCATAATAGCATCATGGGCGGGCGAATCGGCGGGGAAGTGTTAGAGTTCCAATATTTTTGGATCCATAGATGGGCTCGGTGATGGTTCGGCCGACATCGGCGATGACGCGGAGATAGCGTCGCGTCATTGATGCTCTGCTAAGTATTAACACCGCTGTCGAAATGATAAAACTCAGGGAACAATGTATGTGATGAGTTGCTACATTTAGCTCTATATTACTGGAAACCCTCACCACATGTGCGCGGCCACAACGCCTTCCATAACTGCAGGCACTAGCAGCGGCACTCATATCGTATCAATACACGGTCAACGAGCTCACAGCTCCGTTCTTCAGCACCTCAAACACCATGCCCGGAAATCCGAATAGCTCAACATTGCCAACATCCGCCGCACCCTCCATCAAGACACTACCAGCATTCGCAAACTTGCTCTTCTTCCCAGAACTCTCTTCCCATCCTCCGAGAAGTTCGCAGCTACTACCAGGGCTGTCGCCCCAGCCTCTGTTCAGGGCCATGCCGCGTTGCTGTAACCTCTCCTGCTCTTCATTGTCGTAGTATGGCTTGAAGACTTCCTTCAGCCTACCGGAAATGTCTCCAAAGCCCATCTCCGAACTAAGGGGATCGCGGTACATGGCTGATGGAACGTGCTCGAGTGTCCATCTGCTTCGTCTGTGCCGGTTAAATGGGTACGAACCAGGCACGTTACCGTGGAATATGATCTTTATTGCGGTAAGGTGGTTTAGGGGTTGCGCGCTGAGTTCGCCTTGCGCATGTAGTTCCGACTCGTGTCTCTCCGCAGTAGGAGAAGGTGGGGAGATCTGCGTAGGTTGAGAGATGAGAATGTCAAAGCCATGGTGATAGTAGTTGTAGAAGTGCTCAGCCGCTGCGACTTCTCGCTCCTGAGCTTCTAGTGCTGCCTCGTCATCATCTTCCCAAGCGTCTTCGTCGTCGCTTCTGACGACAGAGCCGTGGTCTGAGTCATCATCTGGAGTGAGACCACCAGGTGAGAGATCTGACGCGTCGCTCGTCCTCCGATCCTTGTGTATTGATAGGCGATGATCGTTCTTGCGGTAGATGGAGTCTGGGGCACCAAGCTCCATGATCAAATCCTGTGGCGTTGTCTCGCTGAGGATGATCCAGAATGGAGGACTGGAGCGCCTGACGAGCTCTATCCTACCCTCTCCGTGTACCTTGACCGTCTCGATCTCGTCTGGGCCACCATCTTTTGCTTTGCCTAGGGCCAACGACCTCGGATTCGGCGGTATTGCTGTGAACAATGTTCCGCGGGCTTTTTGCCACGACTCGCCGTTGAAAACCGCCATGGATGTTGCAGACCCAGTAGCTGATGATGACAGAAGCGAGATGAAGTCCTTCTTTGGAGAGTAGGCGGAGTGTTGAACTGGGAAGTTGAACGCTATCCCTGGATACGATAAATTGTATGTGCCACTCGCGTTTGGGTCTTCGGACTTCGGGGGTATGTACTCTCCGCCATATGTCGGTCCCAGCAGCTTGTCATAGACATGGCGAAATCTCGGGCCTGATACGCCACCAGAGAAGCCTCCCTCACCAGGCTTGTACACGTCGATGTCCTTGTATACCAACTTGGCCTTTGCGAAATCGAGCACTTCGATGAGGCGGAGGCGCTGGTCGGGACCGTCGAACTGTAGCCGCAGACCGTTGTCAGGGAGGACGACTTGTACGGGTGATGATATGGGTCGTAGTTCGTCGTGGTAGAGTTGGAAGCGTGGGAAAGCCTTGACTTCGGCTTTGATCGTTGTCAAGACCTCGTGTAGGGAGCAACCGAGGGCTGTGTCTCAGTCAGCTTGGTAACTGGGAAAGACGGTCGCAACGGACTCATGAAGCCTACACTGCGCCCAGGCTGTAGCTGCATGATGCCGTCTTCCATGGTGGGTATGTGTTAAGTGTATGAGTGGAGTAAGTTGTCGCAGTTTGTCTGTCAGTTGATGTGCTGCCTAGCTCGTAGATAGCAAGGAGCTCATAGGCGCGTGCTGTGTCCACGAGGACAAGGCGCCGGGTCTATCCGTGCAGCCCCAAACACAAGAATGAATATCAATGAAGCTGGTGTAAAGCGATACAATAATCGATGTTGTGACAGCGTTCTAATCAGTGAAGTACCGACCATAACACGATCGCGGTGAATGAGGGGTGGCGGGGCAGACGCGCAGGCAGGTAGTTGGGTTGACTAGGAGCTCCAACGTTTTGCGAGGGATAAAGCTAATGATATAACATTTGAATGTATTGCATCGACTCAGTGATCAAGGCAGGAAGACATATCTACACGGGGATATGGATGGAGATGTGCATGCATGCATGCTGCATTGACGTAGCGCGCCGTGTTCGCGATGGCTGATAGCGGGTGGTCTGTGCCCCTGAGCTAAGCAGGATCCCTGCATGAACGTGTTTACTGACTGTTTACGTGTGCAGGTTCCGCAACACCAGACGCATGTCACCCTAACCCGCATATCCGCCTTCACCACCTCTCGAACGCCGCCATGTCTGGACTCCCGCGGCCAGGACCGCCGGTCAAGCGGAATACCACGAGCATGCGACCTCCCACGACGCGCCCGCCCCATCTGGCGCGTGGCCGTTCAGCGACACCCGCCATGGACGGCCGCTCATCGAGAGCCGAATCAGTAGCTTCCTCGGCGCGAGCTCCACGATCATCGCCTTTAAAGCGCAAGATAGACTTCGAAAGCGAGGGAGGAGAAGAGACAAACATCAACGTTGTCGTCCGGTGTAGAGGGCGCAATGACCGCGAAGTGCGCGAGAACAGCGGCGTCGTCGTGTCGACCAACGGGATCAGGGGCACTGCTGTAGACCTGTCTATGGGCCCGAGTGCGCTGAGCAACAAGACATATCAGTTCGACAAGGTCTTTTCTCCGGCAGCCGATCAGGCCATGATGTACGACGAAGTTGTGGCGCCTATTCTGGACGAAGTGAGTTGGAACGGAAGAGAACCATCCTCCTCTGCTAATAACTATCTAGGTCGTAGACGGCTTCAACTGCACAATCTTTGCGTACGGTCAAACCGGCACAGGAAAGACATACACCATGACTGGTGATATCTCTAACGTCCTCCCTCTTCCAGATGCCGCCGGCATCATTCCACGCGTTCTGTACGCGCTCTTCCAACGTCTCGAGACCGACGAAATCGAGAACTCGGTCAAATGCTCCTTCATCGAACTTTACAACGAAGAACTTCGCGATTTGCTTTCACCCGACGACGCGACAAAGCTGAAGATCTACGACGATAATAGCAAGAAAGGCTCTACCACAACCATGGTCCAGGGAATGGAGGAGTGCCATCTCAAGACTGCTGCCGAGGGTATCACAATGTTGCGCAATGGAAGCCACAAGCGACAAGTAGCTGCGACCAAGTGCAACGACCTCAGTTCGCGAAGTCATACCGTCTTCACTATTACCGTCTATATCAAGCGAACAACAGAAGATGGCCAGGAATACCTGAGCGCCGGAAAGCTCAACCTCGTCGATCTTGCGGGTAGTGAGAACATCCAGCGCAGCGGTGCTGAGAATAAGCGCGCAGCAGAGGCTGGTCTTATCAACAAGAGTTTGCTAACACTGGGTCGCGTTATCAACGCACTCGTCGAACGCAGCTCACATATCCCGTACCGAGAGTCAAAACTCACCCGCCTGCTGCAAGACTCGTTGGGCGGTCGAACAAAGACGTGCATCATTGCGACCTTGTCGCCAGCGAAGAGCAACCTCGAAGAGACGATATCCACCCTCGACTACGCCTTCCGCGCCAAGAATATCCGCAACAAGCCGCAAATGAACCAGGCCATCAACAAGAAGACCCTGCTCAAGGAGTACACAGCCGAAATTGAGAAGCTAAAGAGCGAATTAATAGCGACCCGGCAGCGCAACGGTGTCTATCTTACACAGGAGAATTACGAGGAGATCACAACAGTCAGCGAATCGAGACGAATCCTTAGCGAGGAGCAACGTGACCGACTCGAAACCATGGAGGTCAACCTGCGCAACAAGGTGGAGGATCTGTTCAAACTTACGACAAACTTCCAGACCTTGAAGAAAGACAACGAACAAACTCAACTAGCTTTGGACGGCACCAAGGGTATCCTAGAGAAGACAGAGATTGTCCTGGAGCACACGCGCCAAAATCTTACTGAAGAGGCGGAATTGCGAAAGGCGCATCAGAAGACTGAGCAAGAGCTCGCAGAGGTTGGGAAAGAGATGATCTCAACACTCGGCAAGACCACATCAGCTATCGACGGTTTACGATCGAAGATTCGACGGAAGTCAGAACTTCAATCGCAGAACCGACGGAATTGGAATTCTTCCCAAACCCAGGTTGTCGATACCACCCGTATGGTCGAGGACCGGATAGAGGAGCTTCAGCAACAGCAAGAACAGTTGATGAACGCGATATCGGAACGTATGCAAGCTTTTGTCAGAGATGAACTTGAGCAGCTTGGCGCCTCGCAGTCTTTCTTGCAGGAAAAGATGGAGGCATACCAGACTTCCGAACAAGAAGTCAACGGACAGACAGCTCAAGCGCGCGACCACATGAATGAAGTTCTGGAGGAGATCAGGACTCTTCGAGAAGACGTCAAGACGAAGATCGGCGCAGGCCTTGATGAGCTCTCAGCAGCGGCGGAGACAATCTCTGCGAACATCATCACGGAACTCGACGCCTTCCACACGCAAGTCCACGCGTCCTATGCGGGGCTCGGCCGAGACTTCAAGACCACCTTTGACGATCTAGTCAAGGATCTGAACGACCAGCAAATCGAGAACGAGCGACTACACCAACAGGTCGTAGAGGCCAACGCGGCCTTGGTCGAGGCGAACAAGACATCTCAGGGCCAACTTGAGAAGGTCGTGAACGAGGAGAAACAGAAGTCAGCCGAAGACCGCCAACAACTGCTCTCACAGCTTACTGCCATCATCAACGCAAACGCCGACGCGCAAGAGAAGAGGTTAGAAGAGAAGCTTTCGGCTGTACGAGAGGAGATGAACGCCGCCAACGCTGCGTTCGAGACGAAGCAAGATGCTTATGCTGATGGCGTTATTGCATGGTCGGATAAGTCGAGAGACATTCTGGCGGGTGTGTCCAAGTCAAGAGATGCCGTCAAGACCAAGATCAAGTCAGACTTCGCAGCCGCGACCCAGCATTCCACTTCGATCAAGGACACGGCCACATCCGTCCACGAGAGCACTGTCAAGACTGTTGAGGCTCAGATGGCACACCTGGACACTCAGCTTCAGTCCTTGGATGACATCGTAGCCCGCATCCGCGAACAGAACAACACCCACCACACCGCCCATACAGCATCGCTGGCTGCTTTGTCGTCAACAGTGGCAGCTTCATACTCTAGCATCGGCGATCATCTATCCACTTCGTTCGATCGCGTTCAGTCTCTTGAATCGGACATGTCAGCACAAGCAAGCACACTGAAGGAAACTTTACCAGCGCTTGCTGCAGATGCGGACATTCGTGCACCACTACACGAGCTCCGCGAAGTCGTCGGGTCCCAGAACCTGATCGAATACAACCCCACCGGCGAAACACCCCAGCGCGTCTCCTACACTATTCCCTCCACTCTTCCACGCACCGAAGCACACGAGAACATCCTCTCTCGTCTTCGAGACCGCCCCGCACCCGTCGACACCACCACACGTAGCCCTTCGAAACAACCCATCTTCGACGACGCCACAGGAACGCTCAACCTCTCTTCTCCAACCGACATATTCGCCGACACGAGCAAGAAGCCCATTTTCTCGCACTCCATCAGTGCGCACGCCCACACCATCTCGCACCTCCCCACAGGCAACCCTTCTTCCCTACGGGAGCTAGATGTTAACGTGGTGGCGCAGGAAGCTCATACCCAGCCACTTCCCCATCTCGCATCCCAGTCTTCTTGCGATTCGCTGAACGGCGGCCCTCCGAATAAGAAGGCGCGAACGAATGGCGATGATACAAGTAAGCTTCCGATGAAGAAGATGACGAGGAAGACGGTTGGTGTCGCTGGCGATCGTGGGGATAGGGAGAATATTACGAATTTCGGTAATAGCGTTGGTCCGGGTCTTGCGGCTGGGCGAAAGTTGAGAAGTCATGGGAGTGGGTAGTTTGGTGGGATTGTGCTGGTGTATAGTTATGGCGTTTTACCCCCGAGTTGGACCTTCTTTGCATAGTCACGGCGTTTGATATGGGCAGCGGTATATCTGTCTTGTCTACTTGTTTTTCTTCTTCTGCTGGCGTTTGGACACTGGGTTCAAAAGGCTGGGCATACATAGGCGTAATGACATTGCAAACTTCTTACCTTCATCACGGTTCCTGGTCACTCCGCAACATTTTGACCGAATCTTTGAATCCGCGCGGGTAAAAACACTCCGGCCCTGTTCGTGACACAGTTACTATGCCGTGTACTCACTTTCTGCCCTAATTCCTTTGTTTTGCGCCTGAGGTTAAGTTTGTCGATACCATGTGTGCCCGGTGAGTTAGTTCGGTTACTACGTGGCTGGTAATCTGCCGATTGATGGGGATAGGGATGCTAGACAAGCTATGAAGATTGCTTACAGAATCAATACGTTGGCGGTCACGCGTGTGGAATGCCGCAGGAGATTCCTTGGGCGGACGAGATCGAAGATTCGAGGCGCCGTTTTGAAGACAGTCATAAGAGGTTTGTTTGGTATCATGTCTAGGTATACAAATTTTCCTGTCAACATCCATATACCCTACAAGGCCAGCCAGACAGCTAGAGATACACTCGCAAAAGCTCCCATTATCGCCCGAGAAGACGAGAATCCATGCACAGCAGCGCCCAGTTCCGAATGCAGCCAGCAGCTGCGATCATTGTCCGCATCGCCAGGGTAGATATTGAAGCTATTTATGGGGTAAGGTGTATTACCACAGTTACCCTCATCAGCACCCCAACAGTTGTACCCAAACCAATCCAGCAAGTTTTCGTCATCGTTAGGATCGCCTTCAGAGCAGTCCTCTCCTCCATTGATAGTGACCCAGACACTCGTGAGATGACCCTGCTCGTATCTGTCGTCCGCTGGGTTCGCTACATGATAGCGGTACAGAACGCGAGAGTAGTTGGCTGATCTGTCGTACTTTTCGGCGTTGAGAATCGTCCAGTATATACCCGCATTCGCTTCACCAAATGGGATGTACCCAAGGTTTGATGTCTGGTTCACAAAGCCTTGCGTGGCGTTTCCACCAAAGAGATCTGCAAGGCTGAAACAGTGTTGTACAACGGGAATGCTATCCGTAGTGAAGGTCAAGGCGTCGCGGGAGTTGTAGTAGTCGCAGGTGTCGTCGTGGCCATCTTTGAAGAAACGCAGCGTCAGGTTTCGACTGTTAAAGGGTCAGTTGGAATTACATCGATACATACGAGAGGGCACAAACTTGTATGGGCTTAATTCTTCCCCATCTGCGTTCTGGGATCTTTGCGCATGTGCGTACAATGGAGAAGAGAGCAAGGCTAGAAACGCCGATCTGTTGATGATCTGGAGGAGCTGCATTGGAACTAGTGGAGCAAAAGGTTCAGGGAGACGCTCAAAAGCGATGGATTTCCTCGATCCAGGACGAGGTTCTGTGTGAAATCGGTCTCAGTAGACGCGAGCGTGGTGGCTTGTCAGTGTGTTTGTGCTCCATCTCAAGACGGCGCTGCATAATAAGGCCATCCGCTTCTTGCCAAGAGTAAGGCATACTCAGTGGACATTTCGTCATGTGTCACATGGCGGCTTATACCATCTGAGGGATTCGTTGTTCGGGCCATCTCCACCGGCTATTCGGATTGAACGGAACGTTGTTCGTCCCTCCGATCGCAACTCGTAGGATGATCAGCTCTCATCACACCGTTGTCATTTCCTTCCCCTGGCCTGACAAATGATTTGTGTCCGCTTTATCCGTATTGCTGGATCATAACAGCGCACATAACTTTACCTAGCACTACGACGTTGGGGCGGGGTTCAGTGGCACAGTTGGCTTGGCTGCTAAGCATTGTCCTGTATTTGGTGTTTGTTTGCCGAGACCCCGGACAGGGCGTGCCGGGGGGCTTATTTACCCCACGTGCCCGCTTGGCTACCTAGCCAAGCGGGTCGCTAGGATTGACTACCATCAAGCAACAATACTTTGATTCAACGTCCTCACTCCAACTGAACTACAGACCCAGTACTTATCTTCTGCCGGGCGCTTCTTGTGGTTACTACTCCAGGGCTGCGTCTATTTCGGCCCGTACTAACCTCAGTACCTAGGTGTTGCCCAGGTGAGCATGCAGGCTAACCGTTTTTCACTGAGTTCCTGTGGTTACACCACATCACCTCTGCGCGGTTTGGTTTGTCAAAAAGTCTTGGGCATTAGGCCGGACTGCCGATTAAGCCTAAGGATGTTGCGGCTAATAAAGAGATGGGACATCACACAGTGAAGATTGTAGAGACGAGATCTCGATGTAGCACCACGACAGATCCACACATGAAGGACACTTAGCTACGCAAGACTAAGGACGGAGCCATTCTTTCAAGATTCTATGTGCAAATACTTAGGCAGTTCCTTGCCGGGATGGAGCTGCCACAAGCTTGCCTGTGCAAGGTTTCGATATGCTCCTTCAGTTACTCTGGTTGCAGGTGTAAACGTTGCCTCCAGTCCAGAGCGGGGTTGCCTGGCAATACCCTTTGCAGATCTGGCCGACCCTGTCTCCGGCTTGTTCAGTCATGTAGCAATCGTCCTCGCATTGTGTCCCTAAGACGCATAGAGTCAACTTCTGTTGCTTGAGGAATCAACGATTCGATTGCTGTTACTCACCGGTTTGGTATGGTCCGCCATTAGTGTCACCAGTATCACCGTCCTCGCAAGAGGGGATATCGTTCTGTCGTTTGTTCGGAAGCGCGAGAGCACTCGTAAGAAGAGTAGTGATCAAAGCGATGGAGAACTTCATGGTGCAGTTTTGCGTTCGGAAGTGGTTGGACCTGTTTGGAGAGACGAAGTGGAATCGATGAGATGGGTGTTGCTGGACGTTGTGTCGTCAGGCGAGGTGGATTATAACCATCACCGCGGACTTGGCAATGCAACCTCAGTCCCCACTTTCTAACAATTTCGCAGCCATCACAAGGCCGTGTAGCCGTGTAAACGACATCCTTTCGAGTCGTCTTTCAGGCAGGTCAAGACATCTTTATTGACCAGCGTCTTAAAAGGATCGCATATACAGTGGAACTACAGCAGGTTAGACGTCATTAACTTCGTAAGTAGTCAGTTCAGCACTCGCCAATGCTGATACGGGGCGGAAAATTGAAGTTCCCTCGATGTGGGTAAATCATTGCCAACATTTGGGGGCCGAACATACGCTGCTCAAAATGTCCCGATTTGCTGCCTTGTTCAAGACATCATACGACAGCATGCCGATTTGCCGGGCTGAAGTAGGGATCATTCCTCGTTTCACGGATAACAAGGAGCACTCCAGCGAGACTATGTAGATATAAAGGCGTGTTAGTTCAAGGTCAAATGTCATCAAGCACACCGAACTCTCCATTCCACGAGAACACGTCTGTCTGCAAATATCAACATGGGGACTCAACTCCTTACTGTCTTCGGTCTCTTCAGTGATGCACTGACTACGACTGGATTCTTCCAGGACCTTGTCCAAGATAGCCCAGCAGATGGTGCATCTATCAGGATCAAAGGTACAGCATCTCAATGCAAACATTCTTCTCCAATATCACCACTAATACATTCTTCACGCTTATAGCCGGTTTGCCCGATCTAGGCAACGACGGTGACAGTCTTGTGAGTACTATAACCTAGTATGGAACGTTTGGAAGCGCATGCTAATAAAATGATAGTCTGGATCCATCAACAAAGTCTATTCCTACTCCCAAGCGAACGGATACCAGGGCCAGGCTGACGGCTGTGACATTGGTAACGGTGGAATCTGCGACGTCATAATAGATGCGGGTGTCCCGGGCCAACGAGCTGTCTACGTCAGCGTCTCAAACAACAACGACGCAACCTGCATCGCTTGGATCACTGTGAACCAACGCGATGGCACGTTCCCCGGTGCATGGACTGGCGATATTGGAGCAGGATGTGGCCAGACCTGGTATGAACAAATCGAGGTAGCGGGGAAACAAGAAAACGGCAAAGACTACGTCCCCAAATGTACCTGGCTAGATGCTGATCATACCAACGACATTCCAAGTGCTGCTCTGAAGTTCGATGTCACAGCGTACGGCGAGAACGTGAACCAAACCGCGGATGCCAACGCAGCATGCGACTACACAATCTTTGGGGAAGACAATGGGCCTCTCGCCGGTAAGCTATCACCCTTTATACTTGCCGTACTAGAACGTCTATCTAACGTCCAAACTCAGGTAAACCTGGTGCCAAACGAAGCACCCCAGAGCGATCACAGTGGATGACCGAAGCACTTGTCGTTTCCCACATTGCAAGCCACTCGGCGAAGGGACTTTGCGATTCTGCCACGTCTTTAGGACCAGACTTTGTTGATATCCATGGCAACTTCTGCGACATGGGTTCCAAGACTCTCACCCCACTCTGCTCCTCGCAAGACGTTGATGGATGCGTGGAGCTGGACGAGGACGAGAAGGCTGTGGTGAAGCGCATGAGCGTTGCGAAGCGTACCGCCAGTGTCAAGCACAAGTCTTACAAGAAGATCTCCAAGTGGGGATTCTAGATGACAGCCACCTATACAATCTCGTGAGACGAGGTTCACATACACCTGCGGAGTATATACTCGATTTCGCTCGTTAGAAATAAAAATTTGTGTTTTGCAATCTTGCCAACCAATCTCGCAAGTGGCGAGGTCGTATTTTGCCGTTCATGAGTTCTTGCTGCATGAGTTCCATGGCTTTGCGATGGGACGAATGGCGGTTAATGTCGCGCAGAAGAATTGTGGCTGCATCGTACTACACAGTGTCAGGACGAAATTTCAAAAGTCGTGTCCTTCCCCGTGTGATCGTCTCAGCAGCTAGAGAAATGTCAACCACCCATCACGAACATGGACCAGCACGCCGAAAGTTCATTATGCAGACGCGTATCTTGGGAAATTTTGATGTCGAGACAAAAGAAGAGGATTCCGGGAACTAGAAATTTAGAGTTGTTCCCCTTCCGCCTGCCGCTGCTTCCGTGCAGGGTCCCGTTGCGCTAGTTGCTCGCAGCGGTCATTTGCTCGCCTCACGAACTCGAGAAACATCGGAGGGTCGGTAATGAGGTCTGACAGTTGGTCATGTTGGGCACACCTGGGCAGCCTGGGTGTCGACGAAACCTTAAAGGTCGGAGCCATTACGCGTACCGTAGCCCTATGAACTTCACGAAGGAGTTGCTGATGGAACTATTTGCGCATCCAGGTGCACGAACCCTTGGCTGTTAACTGCCGAAACAAAGAAACATTGGTATGAACAGCATCCTTCTGATACAACTCACTAACGGATGTCTTTTTTGGAAAAAGGAAACTATGAAATGAGGCGACTTTGAATCGGGGAATCGTCCAAGAGCGAATCCTTATTCCCGCGTCGACAACAGGGCAATCCTTACTGCATTGAACGTCGCGACCGCCTCCCTCATCCAACTCGCATCCGTTTAGCAAACCTCCGGATAGGTTATTGTTTGCTTCAACAAGTCTCTGGAGATGTTCTCCGACGATCTAGATCTCGACCCCGATAGACCTGATGTTTCCTTCGTGTCCGTATATTATCACCTGCTCGACATCACGTTTCGTACATTCACATGCTATGAACAGATCACAGGGCCATATCTTTCCAGTTGATTCAGCTTACTTTGAACTTGTCTGATGTTTATTCCTACTTTCTATCAAACCCTAGAACACACAGTTAACACCATCACCATGCATTCATCGTCTATCAACTATCGAAAAACTCACTCTCCTTATCCATCAAAGCATCCACCTCATGCTCCTTCAATCCTACCAAATCCATCTTGAAATGCCAATTATGCCACCCAATCTGGCGCTCATACCTTCCAATATACCCCTTGACCAGCTCCCTCCAAGTCTCCTTGCCGATGCCCGCTAACCGTTCATCCCTCATATCCACAACCTCCGTCTTCCCCGGCGGCGAACCCTCCACAAACTTCACCCTCTCCACACCCCCAAACGCATCTTTCATAACCCTAACCACCATAGCAACATCCGCCTTCGGAATCCCCTCAATATCAATAACAAGTTCCCGCAAATGCAATTCCTTGGCAAGAGCTCTCAACTGACAGCGCCAAAACAGCGGTAACCCAGTCCCGCCATTCGGCTGCGGCGGCTCTAGAAATTCGAAAATCGCATCGGAGGCTAACCAGCGCACGCAATGCAGAAGAGCGTTCTTCCCGAAATGGAAGGCCAAGCGTTTAATGTGGGGACGATAAGTCGGGCCGCATTGCCAGAGGAAGTTTGTCGTTCCGCTGAGGCCGAAATGGAAAGTCGTGCTGCGCATTATGTATGGGCGCATTGTGTCGTGGATGCCGCGTGAGATGCGTAGTAAGGTTGATAAACTGATGGCTC